TGCTCTTAATGAGATAACTGACTTAGGTGTAGTTTTTGACTCGAGATTTTTATTTAATAGTCATCTAAATTACACCATTGCTAAGTCATATTCAGTGCTTGCTTTTATTCGTCGCTTTAGTTCAGATTTCACAGATCCTTATACTCTTAAGTTACTGTTCACATCACTGGTTCGCTCTAAGTTGGAATACGATTCTTTTATCTGGAGACCGTATCATGGATGCCATATTAATAAACTCGAAGGGGGTTCAAAAAACGTTTTTACGCTTTGCTCTGGGGTCGTTGAATTTCGGCGACCCTATTCACTCATATAAAGCCAGGTGTGCGCTAATTGACTTGAAATCTCTTCAAAGCAGAAGAACTATCCTTTCGCTCATCTTTGTCTTCGATATTATTAAGGGTGTAATTGATCCACCTTATCTCCTCGAGCGAATTTGTTTCCATATCCCTAACCGGACTCTCCGAAATAGTGATGTTTTTTATACAGAATGTGTCCGAACTCTTTACGCTTCTAATGCTCAAATTTTTCGAGCTCTGACTGAGTTCAATATTCTCTCAAATTCTCTGGCCATTGATTTTTCTATATCTAAGTCTAATTTCAAATCAATGTTAAATGCAATGAGTTTTAATGTATAACTCCTTCTATTTCCAAGTAGTCTGTAAGTAGCTTTGTTAATCTAGATTACTGCTGATTGAATAAATAAATAAATAAAATACATAAATAAAAATCATAAGCATTAACCACTGAGCTATGTACACCCCGTAAACTCTTGTTGCTAATTCATTTTCCTTATTCAACCAACTACTATCAAGTGCAGCTGATTTGCCGCTATTTAAACTCGACAGCGTGGTTGTTGTTGTCAATTCTATACATCCATTTGCTTATTTGCTTTATTGTATAGTTTCAGGCAGGCTCTTCCTAAGCTATGTATTTGTCAATGTTATTGTGTCTTATTATCATTTTATTTTTAATATTTTTATTGAGCTTTGTACCACGATTGTTTATTAGGAAAAATTGAAAAAGGAACAAAGTCTAAGCGGTAGAAGTTATAGCAGCTATTTCGGAGATGACCAGGGATCGAACCTGCGTAATCGATGTTCAAATCAGAAGCATTAACCACTGAGCTATGTTCACCCCGTAAACTCTTGTTGCTAATTCATTTTCCTTATTCAACTACTATCAAGTGCAGGTGATTTGCCGCTATTTAAACTTGACAGGGTGGTTGTTGTTGTCAATTCTGTACATCGATTTGGTTATTTTCTTTATTGTATAATTTCAGGCTGGCACTTCCTAAATTTTTGTTTACTTTTACATTTGGCATTTCGCCCCTTCTTCGCGCAAATCATCGATAAAACTAGATAGGACACCGAAAAGTTATAGGCTAATTTTTGATTATTTTATAATTATAAATTAACGAGGTACGAATTTTGTATGGCTAATCTCTTTCTCTAATAACAGCTTAAGGAGTTCAGCTCGAAAGTGAGGATAATATACTCATATGTAAACCTAGTACAAGTGTTAGCCAGACCAGGTGGCAAACGGCTCCTAATATTTAGGTTAAGTTGATATCCTGTTCATTAATTCAATAATGTTTAATACTTAATACAAGAATGTTTCATTTAATTTGAAAAAAGTTTCACTGAATCTGAAAAAGGTTGCATTCAATTTGAAAAAGGTTTTATTTAATTTGGAAAACTTTCGCTTAACCCGAAAAAGGTTTCG